TTGATACAATAGAGAAAGGGGATTTAGGTTAAGAACATGAACTGGAAGTAGTACTACATTTTTGAATGGCAGTTTTACAGTAAGGTGTGGGAAACCGACATTTTCGTGTCTACTTTACCAGGCAGTGATGAAACGGGAATGCAATACCAGGCTAACTTTCTTCTGTAATTCAGCATTGCCCAGATACCACAAACAAACCCTGCTTGAAAAAATCAAGCAGGCATATATACAGATGACCAGCACCAACCTGAGTTGTAGTGTTAAGAACAGGTCCATTTACTGGTATTTATCAACATTTCAGGTATGATAATGGTCATCACATTAGTACCATCTACAAAACTAGGCACCCATTACACCCTTCATCCCAGAGATCAGTCTATGGTCTCTGACAAAACAGCAGTATCTACAATACTAGGCACCCATTACACCCTTCATCCCAGATATCAGTCTATGGTTTCAGACAAAACAGCACTATCTACAATACTAGGCACCCATTACACCCTTCATCCCAGAGATCAGTCTATGGTCTCGGTGAACTATAAAATATACTGGAATAAATAGGTTTCCATTCAATAAATTCATATCTTAAAAATAGAAGGAAATTGTTATAATTCAAAAATTGGTAGGGACCTTTATTGAAAAATCTACTCTTGCATATATTTCGGGTTAGAACCATATAATTGTTAAGGTCATAGATATCTCAAAAATGAAATTGTTATAATTGACAAACTGGCAGGCATCTAGTCTACTCTTGTGTATAGTATATGTGGGGTTGGAACATAAATACCTAGCGTCATTATTGTGGTGAATACATCACTTAACAAAAGTACTAACCTTGGACACGCCATGTGGCTGTAATTAAGGTCAAGGTTTCTGCTTGGATTGTGTTGGTTGCCGTTCCAAAGGTGGTCTTAATGCCAATAGATCAATTGTCTTTGTAGAGGTCTGTAGTGTTGTAATCCCTATCTGGGTAAAGGTCATTGAGTCAAGGTCAATAAGGGATATATCAATGATTTCTTCTGTAGTTACTTATCAATCTTTCTTGAAACGTCATCAGAACTGCCAGACCTATTTTTTGACGTGTTTAGCAAATATCCTACTCCTGATCCTTATTAAGCGATTCAATGTGGCCAATTTCTGATTTTCAAAATTGTATGGATGATTCTTCTGATTTTGACTAAAATGTGTATCATATGGTCCAAATGAATTAATCAAATGATGAATGAATTAGCAAGTGATCAAAGTCCATTTAATGAGCCCCCTGCTTTTACCTTGAATTAACTTATGAGCAAAATAGAAACAAAAACTCATGAAAATCTCTGAAAGGATTTTTAACTCCTGGTTTTGTACTCTTTTAAATAATTACAGTGTTTACATGTTATCTCTTTTCTGTTGCATCAAATAATTACAGTGTTTACATGTTATCTCTTTCCTGTTGCATCAAGGTTGAAGGTTTAGTTTAGACTTTAACACTACTTGGTACGGATACGTAGTAAACAAAGTTGATTCATCCTGACTCTCTTTTATCTTCACGATTCTGGATTTTCTCACGTTAGACCCCAACTGTTGCAGAATTATGATTATTTTTTGGGTATTTATCTGTCTGGGTTAAGGTAAAACAGTAATGAATGCTACAGTATATATTTATCAGATGTCTGGTGGGAGCCTGCAGGTGAAGTACATAGCTTCCCTGATGTCTTATCTCCAAAGAAAAAGCTTCAGTCGAGATGAATGTCTGATAGGTCACAGTCCCTAGTGTTCGATGCTCAAAAGGCAAAGGTTGTCTGGGATTCGTGGTTGTTCATCATTTTGCTCAAAAGGGGCGAGGTTCTGCTGTATGCCCTTGGCTCATGAGACAAATTGTGGAACTGTGTTTTATGATCCGGTTGATTGGTCAAAACTGCCATGGGAATTTATTGTGCTTTATTGTCTAGACTCTGCTTGTAAGACAAAGGGCAAGCTTGTTGCCACATAGTTATGTAACCCATTAAGTGTTTTGATGTAGATTTGTACTGTTATGGTGCTTTATAGATTTGTATGTCATTGAGTTACTTTGTGGTCCATTGTGGAGTAAGAGTCTAATTTATAGATCTGAATGTTTTTGGTTACTTTGTGGTCCATTGTGGAGGAAGAGTTAATTTATAGATCTGAATGTTTTTGGTGACTTTGTGGTCCATTGTGGAGTAAGAGTCTAATTTATAGATCTGTATGGTTTTGGTGACTTTGTGGTCCATTGTGGAGTAAATTTATGTTTCCATAGATTTGTATGACTTTCAGATAAGTAGCTGTTCCATATTTGTGTGCATTTAATTTGTGTTTTGTGGATTTGTATGTATCGATATATGTTTGAGCTCCACAGGTGGTAGGTTTTACTTCACAGATTTGTATGTTATGGAAAGGTCAGTGCTTCTTTGTGCAGCTTTGACTTCAAGTTTGAGGCCAGTTTGATCACCATTGTGTTGTACTTCCTGGTGAGCTTGTACTTAGTATGGTTTTATGCTCACAGAGGGATATGGGTTTTGCTCTATGAAAGGATAAGCTTGATCTATGTCTTTGGGCATTAGTTTGTATGTCATGGTCACAATGTTTCTGGGGTAAGAATGTTCTTGTATGTCTTTGCTAAAAGTGCAAATAGGCTTAGATTTGACAAGGTGTTTTTTTATGGTTTCCTATAGCTGCTTCAGTATATATAGAGTTGTATGTTTTCCTTGGGTGCAAAAAAAGATATCTTCTGTGTTTTTTTTATTACAGTGTAAGAAAGTCTGTGTTACTGTCAGCAACTATTGGTGTGACATCTCGTGTACACTGTTAGATTATCCTAGAAGCACTATGTTGTTACCTGTTACACAATGTGTTTCATCCCTTGGGTCCTTAACATTTCTTCCTTCAAGTCCTCACTTCCTAATGTTACTGTGATGTGGTATTGTAGAAAAGTGTCTTCCCCCACTTCCAAATGTTACTGCGATCTCGTGGTAAAGTAGAGAAGTTGTTCCCCTCAGTCGTCACTTCCAAATGTTACTGCGATCCCCGCCGCGTATAGTAGAGAAGTGACAAATGTAGAGAATTTGTATTAATTACATTAGACTTTGCCACTGATGGTGTTGCTTACAGACAGAAGGAAAGCATGGTAAAATCAATAGCGGGTGATTCTACACTTTCATTATAGTACTGGGCTGACAATGAGATAGGGGAGCACCACACTTCAACCAGATTCCGTGTAGTCCTTCACCATCTTTTGTCTGATCTGGTCACACGTAATTGTAGTGTATATCACATATGTCGTTACGGTCAACAACCTCTTTTGTATGTTATCTTATTCTACAAATGTATGGTCATAAAATGTTCATGCCAAGCATATTGTGTAATTTGATTAATGTTTCAGCCTTGAAGGAAGAGTAAATACTATCTGATACTAATAGAATTTTGTGATTTGAAATATCAAGGGTATCAAATGTATTGTACACATATGGGACCTTCATGCTGTACATTTGGCATGACCTTCCCTTGTGCTGTAAGTGTTGTTATGTATAGAGCTTGTTTATGCTGTTACATGTATATTGAATAAGATGAAATTGATATATTTAATTCTTGTGAATTTCTCCCTATGTCTGTTTGTCCTTCTGCTTTTCCATGTTTTCTGTTTTTCCTTCCAGAACTACGGTAGTTCAAGGTTGATTCAGTTGACCTTGCTCTACTTTCTCATGACTTTTTTTATGTGCTACAACTTTTATCTATGTATTATTCTGATTTATAAATGTATTGTGTTATTATTTCCATATATATATACCAAGCTATTGTTGTCATTAAATATATATATTTCATTTTCAGTATTATTAGTACAATTCTCAGTTGGTTAAACATTCATGGGTTCGATGTCAAAGCCCTCCGAGCATTTAGGGTCTTGCGACCTTTGCGATTGGTGTCGAGGGCCCCTAGTAAGTACTATGAACTGGGAATGCATTAGTGACCTAACCGGACTTGGTGTGCTTTGTCTATCTAACCAGCATCCAGCATCTTGGGACTCAAATAAATGGCTGTGTCATAAACACTTGAATCCGTTCTTGGGTCCATCGACCTTTCTGTTGCAGCAACCATTGTAACTTCTGCAAGAACCGTTTCAACTTGCTGTGGATTGGTGTGCAGTCGAGGTCTAGCCGAGCTGTACGGCTGTTCAAAACAACAACACCAATTGACAAGCAGTGTTGAAACCGTAGCTTGTGTCTGGTTTAGATGGATTTTGCAGTAGAGATGTCTAGTTATTTTTTGCACTTGTATATACCAGTATGTTGTGAGTACAAAAGTTGCGAAAAAGTTTTTGCGTTTTATTTAGGTATATTCTTGTGTAATGATGCAGCCTTGTGTTTCTGTAACCTGTTGGAGGAAGCAAACCTTCAAAGCAAATATCACTTATACAAAACCATTGTTTGATTCACTATATGCTTTGAAGGTTTATTCCTATACATTTTAATAAGAGGGTTTTTGTAGATTTAGCCTATTGAAATACCAAGGGGCCATTAGATTAATTTACAGCATGCCATCACAAAATAACAAACAAGACGTGATACTGATGTGTGAGGAGGGGATAGAAGGGGCGGGGCTGCCTGAGGCAGGGGTGATACGGTTAGGTGCCACGCCTCCAGCCCTTTCTGCCACGTGTCAGGCAGGCTGGTCATCCTTCTACCTCCCCATCACACTAATATGAATGCTGTGTCTGATGTGTGCTCATTGAACAAGGTTTTGGTCTACGGGGGTGATGTTGGCTCTGCTGCAAACATAACAGAGCTAAAGCAGACCACACATTACTTACTGTGTCTTTAAACAAAATTAATCGTATTGTAAATAAAAAATAGTTTGAGGAAAAAAGACGTGCCATACTTTTGTTTGATGAGCAAACATCGGAGAAGTTAACCAGTTGGTTTGATATTTGCATGGACATTTCGGGTGGAAGATGCATACTAAAGGGTTTTGATAAAGAATTTTTGCATTTTTATTGTTTGCAGTGTGATAAGTACTGTTCTGTCGACAATGAACATCAATAATTTTGATGTGAAAGCCCTGCGTGCATTCAGGGTTTTGCGACCATTACGGCTTGTATCCGGTGTACCCAGTAAGTACTAACCCCTCAGACTTTACATCACTGTCGTCTGTGGCTCTCACTAATATGGAATGACAACTTTCTTACTGGTGTTCAATTGTGTATACTATCCGATGTGGTGCAGGTTTCCTCTCCATAGAGGGCCGGGCCACGGGGAGGGATGCACGCCTCAAAATATTGTAATTAACATCTCTATAAAGACAGAAATAGCACAAGCTGGACACCATGGAAAATGGTTATTCAAAAACGTGGACCTTTATTATTTTTTTTAATTTTTGTACCTTATTTCTGAGCACAGTGTTTGCTTTACCTATCATTTTGGACTGATTTTTAGGTAGCGTGATGTTTTTGATGGTTTCTTTGTCTCCTTTCTTATATCCTTTGTTTCAAGTGTGTCCAATACTCACCAGACTCCATCCCTTCATTTGACCATCATTAATTAGAGTCAAATATGAAAACTAATAAGGAAACATTCTGACCCTATAATTTGAAAGTTTTAAATAGTTAGTTCTGCTATGAATATTTTTCTGTAGGTCATGTCAAAACCTTGGGTTATTACTTCTTTCCATACACCTTAGCCAGAATCACTGATTGTATTACCATAAATGAATAGCAAATTAATCTATAGTAATGCTGCATTAGAATTCGGTTGAACAGAAATAATAACTCATAAACTTGGATCATCTGGCTAAAATTACAGTCCTTCATTCATTAGAATATGCAAATAAATGACGTAAATGATATGAAGAAATCTGCAGAAAATTGCATTGTATAAATAGCCTGAATATTAAGTCCATTTATATAAGTATGCAAACATAATTCCATCCATTCAGTTGAAATATTATGGCAACAAACAATTCTGCGTAAAGTTTTAGAGCAATATCAGAGATAAGGAATTGTTTTTACCTGAGATAATAAGGAATTTAGTTAGTAATAAGACAAGTTTATATAGTGAGGGTCTTTAGACAGTACAGGTACGCTGACAGGTGATGGTGTCACAAACGCGGACACACACACACACACGCACACACCCCTCTCCCAATGTACTGTCAGTAACATTGCATGTCGGCTGTCACATCATTTGTTTTACAGGTCGCTATCCCAGTGATACGCCAGTCTCCATATCTTCTTTGTCAGAAATCTTTCATTTTTTGTGTGACAATAAAACAAAACTATTGAAAAAATTTGGACAAAGTAAAAAATATTGAAGTCTTGAAAATCAAATTGAATCCCTGGTTGTGGTTGATATGTTTTATATATAAAAACCACGTGAAACTTTTCGACACAGCAATATCAGCACCACTATGTGTATCAGTTTATCTATTTATCAAATGGTATCTTAGGTATAATTCCTGCAATATAAATATTTTACATTTTTAATGGAGTATGTAACTTTAATAGCAGTTAGATTTTTTTTATTTGATTTCAATTAGATTATTTTTTAGAATTTAGGCTTTATATTTATTCTATATCATATTATTTATATTAATTAATTTATTTATAAACAAAATATACTGGTCAGCTACATCCATACATTACCATACCTAAAAGCCTACTTAACCTCCCCTCCTCCTGTTCGTGTAGAGGGACTTCCTTGGGAACCCTGCTCCCAAACCTCTGGCCTATCTGCCCGTAGTACGGGTTGATCAGTAGATCCTTAGACAGTGACCTGTAATTCGGCGATCTGACTAGTATTTTCTAGGTCTGTATTGTGTGGTGAGGGATTCATTGTAAAACAGCTGATTTACAAGTGATTAACTTCTCGAGTGATTTGTGTACAATTTTCTTCCCTGCTTTGTTGCTGTCCAGCTTTGTTGCTCTATGGTCTCTTCCTAAACAACACTTAAATTACGCAATTACACACTGGATCATTGAGTCATCATAAGCACACTCATTTTCGATAGAGATCTTGTAACCATCATTGAGCACATACTTTACATCAGGTCATGATATATCGGTCAGTGTACACATTTACACATCAGATTAGAGAACTGCAGACCCCCGAAATATCGCACAGCACAAACATTGCAGATTATTGGATCATGGAAGTACCATTTATCACACTAAATTGCTAAAAATAGACTTAACACCAAAAACCATCTGGGAAGAATGCCAAACGGTACAGCTGTACCACAGTCATTCTTATTTCATCCAATGACATTGCTGAAGACACACAGGTCATTAAACACAGGTCATAACACACAGATCCATACACTCAGGAAATTACACACATGTCGATACACGCAGGTCATTACATGTTATTACACTCAGGACATTACACACATGTTGATACACGCAGGTCATTACATGTTATTACACACAGGACATTACACACATGTCAATACACACAGGTTAATACATGCAGGTCATTATCCATATCATTACACACATGTCATTATACACACGTCATGATATGTCACATGTCATTACACACAGGTCATTACACATATGTTAATACATGCACGTCATTACACATATGTTAATACATGCAGGGCATTACACATATGTTAATACATGCACGTCATTACACATATGTTAATACATGCAGGGCATTACACATATGTTAATACATGCAGGGCATTACACATATGTTAATACATGCAGGGCATTACACATATGTTAATACATGCACGTCATTACACATATGTTAATACATGCAGGGCATTACACATATGTTAATACATGAAGGTCATTACACATATGTTAATACATGCAGGGCATTACACATATGTTAATACATGAAGGTCATTACACATATGTTAATCCATGCAGGTCATTACACATATGTTAATACATGCACGTCATTACACATATGTTAATACATGAAGGTCATTACACATATGTTAATACATGCACGTCATTACACATATGTTAATACATGAAGGTCATTACACATATGTTAATACATGCACGTCATTACACATATGTTAATACATGCAGTTCATTATACATATCATTACACACAGGCCATTATACATGTTACACACAGGGTAATACTCACATGTTAATAAACACAGATTAATACACACAGATCACTACACACATGTCAATACACACAGGTCATTACACACATGTCAATACACACAGGTCATTACACACAGGTCAATACACACAGGTCACTACACACAGGTTAATACACACAGGTCACTACACACATGTCATTACACACAGGTTAATACTTTCAGGTCATTACACACATTTTAATACACACAGGTAAATACACACAGGTTAATACACACAGGTCATTACATGCAGGTCAATGCACACAGGTCATTATACATTTCATTACACACAGGTTAATACACGCATGTCATTACAAACAGGTCATTACACACAGGTCTTTACACACAGGTTAATACTCACATGTCAATACACACCGGTCATTACATGCAGGTCATTATACATACCGTTACACACAGGTCATTATACATGTCATTACACACAGGTCATTACACACAGGTCATTACAAACAGATTGTTAAGTTAAAGTTATATACATTTACATGTCACTTTTAGACATTGTCTATCAGAAAACACACAATTAAATGCAAACACATATACTTTTTAAAACACACCTGTTACCTTTACATTCGATAAACACACCTGTTACGTTTACACTCGTTAAAACACACCTGTTACCTTTACACTCGTTAAAACATACCTGTTGCCTTTACACTCGTTAAAACATACCTGTTACCTTTACGCTCGTTAAAACACACCTGTTACTGTCGACAACGGTGTGTATGTATTGACTTCGTAAGTGTCACTTCATTTTTCTGTCCAACTCCAACTGCTGGTATCACCAGTGGGCATCACTCCCAGTCCTTCCTGTCTACCAGCTGGCTTCATTACCTGCCCTTTTTGTTTCCTCCCTCTGCTTCTAGCACATGTTTACCTTGAGAGTGCTCTCTATACTGTGACTGTACAACCCTTGTGACAAGTTCCACTGGCCCTGTTTCTACAAAACTCTCGACTAAAAACTGACAAGAATGACGTAAGCTAGAAGGTATATGTTTGATAATGGTTCACATAGGTCAGAGGTCAAGGTCAAGCTGACTATTTTTTTTTGTTTCAGCACTTGCGTTTAGTAAGTCCAGCTCAAACAAACCAACTTAGAAGTTTTGGTTGCAAAGGTCAAAGGTCCAGGTCACTTTTTGAAAAACAAAATGACATATTGTTTATATGTGCAATTTGTTATGAATTTGGTCTTCAAATTACAGCTTGAGAGACAAGAGGTCAAAGATCAAGGTCACCGGAATTAATAATAGAATGCCTGGAAGTGATGTAAGTTGCAATCTAGGATCAGGCTGTTTATTACAGATACTGGTATTTACTGATATTACACTACTGCTGATGATCCGAAGGAATCATCTCTTGTGACCTTCACATGACGTCTGTTCAAGATGGTGTCCCAGACTTGTTGACAAGTGAAGATTCTCATTCATTCTTAATTAATGTTTGATACATGGTCTTGATCATCCATGCAGTTGAGAAATGTTGTCCTAGTCTTACCCCCGAACAAATCTTCAGATTAGCAAGGGAAGACCTCTATTCACATTTACATGGCTCTCTATCTTTTGAATGTTGAATCTGTTTGAATTGACGTGGGCACCATTCCTTTGACATTTCCTGACATCTTTTTGTCATTTATATTAGTTTATACCAATTTTTTGACTGTTCAACTTGGTTCAGACTTGGTCCAGCCATGTCTGAATGAACCATTTCAGTTATACCTCTCTTCAATTTTCACATGGTATAGTGGGCACTATCTGAATGTTGGGAACAGTAGGAATGTCTGTAGGTTTCAAGCATCAATGACTTGAGGCTGCTTTGATTACCTGGCCTTGCTGCCCCCTCTTATCCATCTGTTTTCACATTCACTATTGCTACACTTGGTGAGGTCTTTATCTGCTAACTTCTGGCTGTGAACATGTTGATATCTGGCCATTGATACATCCTCTTCATGTACTCAACGGTTCTTATCCCCAACCATCTACTAAGCTGATCCACAACACATCCTTTTTCTGATGCTGCTATCAGTCTTAAATGGATGTATTGTTTCCTAATTTGTTCCCATGTAAATTCAGTATGCCTTCATCCCAAGATTCAATTTTCAATTCAATCTTTGTTCTTTCAGATAAAGCTTCGTGTTTCAAGTTATGCTCAATGGCTCTATTTATATTGTAAAACATATTTTACAAGACAAGTTTTATAATTACTACAAAAGCCTTCTTTGTCTTACAATATTCAGTGTGTAAAAGTGTGAAAATGTCTCTTCGTCTGACCTCTTGTGTGCTCCTGGAATGCTATTCCCAGATTTGCACGCCCCTGTCGCCTGTTCCATCTAAACACTTGAACGAAAGAAACAGACCATGCATATTTATTGACATTTATTGGCTTATTTGCAAACATTTTCTCAAATATTTTTCTATTTCCAATTTGGCAGACATGGTCATATTATGAATAAACATTAATGTCATACAAAATTTGTATTTTACATTGTGTGTTTCATATTATGTCAAATCGAAATTTCATGTTTTGACATTAAAGATATTAGAGAGAATTTTTTCTTGTTTTTTCGATATTCAAAGACAGTTTAAAAAAGCCATGCAGACATGTCCCTGTATAATGGAAGATGAATTCATCGTGTAGATACGACCAATCTCGTGACATGATCATACCAGTACTGAAACCCTGAGGTCCTTAACGTGGTAGGGAAATGATGGATAATCCAGGATAGATTTGATAACCACATCAGTAGGATCATACAAATTTAATCAGCTAGGTTATCAAGTTCATCTGTGTAAGAAATCAGGTATAGGGTTGTTCATGCTAATATCTACCAATGCCTTACTCAGAAGCATTCTTACTTTTAGTAGCAGTAGTATGTTTGGTTTTATGTCACTTCCCCAGTTTAAACTTGATATTGTGCTTACTCTTCACATTGTAAATGCTTGTGTATCTTGCATGGCATGAAGTTTTGTACTGATCCCCAGTTCTGGGTGTTCTAACGTCACGGGATGACATGAGCTTGTTAAGCATGTAACACTGTTGTAGCCATGTCATCTCACCAGATGTACATATGGTGGCGACAAAAATTTTAATCAGAAATATTAAAATCTAATACCAATATTTGTTAAAAATAATATTTTCTTCAATGAGTATTGTATTTGTCAGCTTTTTATATACATGTTTATGAAATCAAATGTTTATTCCATTGATTGAAATATGGATTAATCGAAAAAATAACTGAATCATACTTCAAAGGTATTTCATTAGGCCAACAAATTTGTTATAGTTATGACAAAGACATGTGTTGTGTGTGTCATAGAAGTGGTTTGCAAACAGATGTTTGTAATTTTTTGTTGTATTGTTATAATTGATGTGTAAAATTTTATTTTTAAACAAGACAATAGTGAAATCTGCCTTAAGGGATGACCATACATGAAAAGTCGTACTTACAATTTGTGTTTAACAAAAGACAAAATTCATCAAAAAATAAATGTAAAAAAATAGCACAGTTTCTGCAAATTTTACATCTTAAAATTTTGTGTTTGACAAAATTTGAAAAAAAAAACACCCCGACAATTTCTACAGATTTTGCACCATTTTAATGTTGGTAAACATTCCAAAAAGCTGAAGAGAAAGCTAGAATGGCCTCCTTCATCCTCAGATACACTGTCTTGTGTTTGTATACCTCAGTAGGAGCTTTCAGTTTCACTGTACAGCTTAGTGTGCAGTCACAATATTGTTTAAAACAGAGTGTAGTACAGCAAATTGCTTTTGGTTCAAGTCTGTTAAAAAATTTGCTAAATTAATTTGTATGGAGACAAAGGCAAAACATTTGGATGCTTGCTTCCCTGGGTTTCACCCATTCTTGACTAGAAATTACGTTTTCAATTTGAATTCATTTTGATCAAATAACTAAACATGAAAGAAATCATGAATTTTGAAGTAGAATCCATTTTCATCCAGAAAGCAATCCATTATTGAAATTTTAAGTATTTCATGAATCCTGAAAGAATTTTGAAGAAAATTGTCGAAGCATTACACCCTTCATCTGTACACCATTAGATACACTTTACGCATGAAATTACAGCAAGCTGCTGGCCTCAAAATGGAGGGTTTCTTGCTCGGGTAAAATGGTAGCAGGCTGCTCACCTAAGCATTGAAAATGTCTTGCTTGGATAAATTAAAGCAGCCTGCTGGCCTCAGAAGTGATGGTTTCTTGCTTACGGAGTGAAAATAGAAGTTTATCAGACACTACATAATTTGCTTTGTACCTCTGAGGAGGGGTCTAATTTTAAGTTAATTTGTTTTCAGTTATTTTATGCCAATTTAGCTGGTTACATTGGTAACTATTTTTTCACACCTATGTGTAAACGGCCTGTACAGTTTAATTCTGAATTTCACATACCAGGTAGATATTGGAATTATTTCTCCTTGAAAAAAAAAAGGAAAATTCAAGTCAAATTAAATATTTGGGATTTTAATATATTTATTTTTTGGTTGCAGTAAAAAAATTGCCACCAGATAATAAGTATTCTAATTGCCAGGTCACCGCTGTAATTTCATCATTCACTGACCCACCGTACTTGTTTCTATAGACAATGCATGTATTCTTTATAAATAGATTTTTGTGGTGAAAATTTCACATTTAGACTTGTTTTGATACATGTTATTTTTACTAATGCAATACATGCTGTATATATATATAACAATGTTCACTGTAATCAAGCATACTTGCTCACTTATACAGCTTTATAAACATACATTATAATGACAATATCAGATAAGTTCCTTTGTATGTTTTTACAAATTGATGGTAATATTTGATTGTACATATTAAAAGAATATAAATTCATCTTTGTTTATTTGTGTTAGATATGCAAACCTCATTATAAAATTGTTACCTATATTATAAATACAACTATTGATATGCTACTTTTTAATGACTGGAATCATCTCTTGTCTCTTGTTGAAGAGTAGGGCTGACATCTATAAACCAACTCTTACACCAATGTGCTTTTGTATTACAGGTTTACAAGTGGTTCTAAATGCCATCCTGCGTGCAATGGTGCCTTTGCTACATATCGCCCTACTTGTCATATTTGTTATCATCATATATGCTATCATAGGCTTGGAGCTCTTCTCAGGGACATTGCATTCTACCTGTTTTGATAGAGATTCAGGTAAGTTGTGGGTTCAACTGTTTTCTACCTGTTTTGATACAGACTCAGGTAAGTTGTATTCCACCTAATTAGGTTCAGACCAAATCAAACTGGGTCTCTTTGACCACAAATCCCCAGCTCCATGTATGTTCTGCATTGGTTAAGTTTATCTCAAGTATCACCGTTCAATCCTATATCTATCACAATTAAATACACTTAAAACTGCTTTGACCTTTTGAATCTTTCTGGTCATCACATCAAACCTTTAAAAAACAATGTATCGATGGGTTACATACAAAAAAAAAGAGGATCATACTATTAAAAACCATTACAGTTAATATTGAGATCTACTCTCTTTCAAATTAGTGAAGTCATGGTAACATGGTCTTGAAAAGCAGTCAAGACAGTCACATGGTCTTAAAAATCAGTGTAGTAGCCATGGTGACTGCTCTCTCAAAAACCATGTGATTATGAATGGTTATTGACAATTCACGGTCTCAACCCAGTTCTGCTGTCATTGAATTTGAGGTTCTGTGGTCCTACAACCAACCATCGTTATACCCACCTCTGTTGTCACATACTGTGGTCTACACTGATTCAGCCCTAAGTCATGGCATTTAAAAGCTTGAGAGAAAATGGATATCTTGATGGTTTGTCTCTGGTAATCAATACCGGTTCTTACACTTCTCTCACTTTCACACTGGGTTTGCGTAATAAAGACAGTTACATGTATTGGCAATGATCGGCCTGACTTATAGGTACACTTGGCCTTGTGGTTGAGTGCCAAAGGTTGCCTGATCACTGTAAGTTGCACACAAAATTGCAGTTCCTTTTTTTTGGTCAGCATTCTATTATGAGCAAATAGGGGTTGTCATTTTGGATTAGTGTATAGCATGCCAGTCAGTGGACTCCGTTATGACAAGACGATTATGTGGTTCTGTGTAGATGTTTTTTTTATCAGTTACTGAAACCTTACATCAACATAGGGGAAACACATGCATATTTAATGTCAATGTAATGCAATCAGTTGCTCCCTGATGGCTCATGCTAGCTGGAGTGGTGGGAGATAGTTCGTGTATCTGGGTGCCCTTTACAATTATACATTTGTCTTGGTATAGATTACAGATCAATCGCTTCAGGGCAGGAGGCCAGGCTTTCCCAGTAACACCCAGCTGTAGGATAAGAATAGTAAATCGTGATAGTAAGACATGACCAGATTCACTATAGGTCAACATTGTTGCAAGCATGATATTGCTTTTTTGCAACTCATTAACAGATGCAACTCATACTGGTACGTCATTCAAAGCTTTATCCCAGTAATAAATTGCTGAGGAATATGAATTAATACTGACACAAGTGACAATTTACAAGACACTTCAATAGAATGTGACACATATCAGACCAGAGTTATAGGGCCTATAGATTTATCTGAGAGTGAGCTACATCAGTAATTTCTGACCTTGAGCTTTACCTAATCCTTTCAGCCCTGTGTAACTTTAATAAACTTTACCATGTATTAATCTGGTAGAGTCCATTATGGTCTACAGTGGTAAAAGGGCTAAACAGGAATCATAAAATGTATGACACAGAATTTAATAACATGGGGATCTATAAGCATAGGGTATAATCGTAGAGTTCCAATTCAGAGCTATTATTTCAACTTTTTATGATAAAATAACAAAATAATTTTGTTTAGAGTTACTTCCCATGTCAAGGTATTCCGATTCCATTTTGATGGTACTCTTTCCTTGAAGTCTCACAGCTATGTGAAGTGAGCTATAACTTACACAAAGACAGTATAGGTGGAATCCAACTAATGCAAGTAGTCTTACTTAACTTAACAGTGGACTACACCTTTTAAAGGCTATGAATAAATATTGGCCTATAAAGATAATGTTGGCCTTAAAGTATTGACCATAATAGCTATATTGTTGCAGTGGACTGTTTGACTCGCCAATATCTGACAGGGAACTTAAACAGATAATGCAAGTGTGGCCTTCTAGCTTCACGCTAGAGAATTTCCCTTTAGCTCAATGGATAAAGCATTGGACTGGGAAGCTGGGGTCACTGGTTCAATCCTCAGTGGAAGCACACTTCTCTCTCTCCTGTTACACATGGTGTCTGTGGCCATCCCTATGGTGACAGGGAATTAGAACCTGGCTTGTTGTGGTGTTTGAGGGCCAACGTATTTAAAAAAGGAGGGAATAGTGTGGCAGAATTTAATTGTACATAGGATTGTGGTCGTCTTCTAGATTTGGGCTAGAGGGAATTTACCTTTAACTCAGTGGTAGAGCGTCTGACTAGGAAGTCTGGGATCGCGGATTCAATCTCCGGGGTAGCACGCTACTCTCTTTCCTGTTACATAAGGATACTATCTTTTTCCAAGTGAGCACTGCCACTCAGAACCATACAATGAAACCATAAACAATTCATACTTACGTGTGAAAGTAAGCTTAGTGTTAAAGAATGTGCATTTTGCAACAGATGCTGAAAATAGGTTGCAGAAATAATATGAAACTACTGCACTCAGATTTAGCCCGGCGCAGTAGGTCATGTGTCTGTTGGAGTATTGAACTGTGTCAGTGATGCCTTGGTAAATGCCACAACTAAGTGGTGGGCATTTGGAAAATTTGTCTCCAACCTACTGATATAAAAGTGTGGCTTTATAGCAAGACTGACAAGTTAACCACATGTGGTAATTGTGCAGACCCAAACACAGCCAGTGCCAGCCAGATCCAGTAATGGCTGGGGATTTCCTACCTCGGGCTGCAGTCTGTAGTCAGCACTGTCATAAAACAGTCCCTCTCTTTGTTAACTGTCTGTAGTTTCCACTGTCATAAACATGTCCCTGTCTACGTAACTGTCTGTAGTCAGCCCTGTCATAAAACATGTCCTTTCGACTGTCATAAAACAGTACCATCTCTTTGTTAACTGTCTGTAGTTTCCACTGTCATAAAACAGTCCCATCTCTTTGTTAACTGTCTATAGTTTCCACTGTCATAAAACATGTCTAGGTAGCTGTCTGTAGTCAGCACTGTCATAAAACATGTCCCTGTCTAGGTAACTGTCTGTAGTTTCCACTGTCATAAAGCATGTCCCTCTCTTTGTTAACTGTCTGTAGTTTCCACTGTCATAAATCAGTCCCCTCTCTTTGTTAACTGTCTGTAGTTTCCACTGTCATAAAACAGTCCCCTCTCTTTGTTAACTGTCTATAGTTTCCACTGTCATAAAACATGTCTAGGTAACTGTCTGTAGTTTCCACTGTCATAAAACATGTTCCTTTCTAGGTAGCTGTCTGTAGTTTCCACTGTCATAAAATATGTCCCTGTCTAGGGAACTGTCTGTAGTTTCCACTGTCATAAAACATGTACCTGTCTAGGTAACTGTCTTTAGTTTCCACGGTCATAAAACAGTCCCTCTCTTTGTTACCTGTCTGTAGTTTCCACTGTCATAAAACATGGCCCTGTCTAGGTAGCTGTCTAGTTTCCACTGTCATAAAACATGTCCCCGTCTAGGTAACTGTCTGTAGTTTCCACAGTCATAAAACATGTCCCTGTCTAGGTAGCTGTCTATAGTTTCCACTGTCATAAAACATGTCTAGGTAGCTGTCTGCTGTCATAAAACATGTCCCTGTCTAGGGAACTGTCTGTAGTTTCCACTGTCATAAAACATGTACCTGTCTAGGTAACTGTCTTTAGTTTCCACGGTCATAAAACAGTCCCTCTCTTTGTTAACTGTCTGTAGTTTCCACTGTCATAAAGCATGTCCATCTCTTTGTTAACTGTCTGTAGTTTCCAATGTCATATAAGTCTCTGTCTAGAGTTAAATAGTCCAAAATCACCATTTTCCTAAAGCAGTGTCCTATCTACCTTAATTGAAGTCACCACTGCGATATAATCCCTGTCTAGGTAACTGTCTGTAGTTTACACTGTCATAAAACATGTCCCTGTCTATGTAACTGTCTGTAGTTTCCACTGTCATAAAACATGTTCCTTTCTAGGTAGCTGTCTGTAGTTTCCACTGTCTTAAAACATGTCCCTGTCTAGGTAGCTGTCTGTAGTTTCCACTGTCATAAAATATGTCCATGTCTAGGTAACTGTCTGTAGTTTCCACCGTCATAAAACATGTCTAGGTAGCTGTCTGTAGTCAGAAATGTCATAAAACATGTCCCTGTCTAGGTAACTGACTTTAGTTTCCACTGTCATAAAACAGTCCCTCTCTTTGTTAACTGTCTGTAGGTTCCACTGTCATAAAACATGTCCCTGTCTATGTAACTGTCTGTAGTTTCCACTGTCATAACACATGTCCCTGTCTAGGTAACTGTCTGGAGTTTCCACTGTCATAAAACATGTCCCCGTCTAGGTAACTGTCTGTAGTTTCCACCGTCATAAAACATGTCTAGGTAGCTGTCTGTAGTTTCCACTGTCATAAAACAGGTCCCTGTCTAGGTAACTGTCTGTGGTTTCCACTGTCATAAAACAGTCCCCTCTCTTTGTTAACTGTCTATAGTTTCCACTGTTATAAAACATGTCTAGGTAACTGTCTGTAGTTTCCACTGGCATAAAACATGTCCCTGTCAAGGTAACTGTCTGTAGATTCCACTGTCATAAAACATGTCCCTGTCTATGTAACTGTCTGTAGTTTCCACTGTCATAAATCAGTCCCCTCTCTTTGTAAACTGTCTGTAGTTTCCACTGTCATAAAACATGTTCTGTAGTCAGCACTGTCATAAAACAGTCCCCTCTCTTTGTTAACTGTCTGTAGTTTCCACTGTCATAAAATATGTCCCTGTCTAGGGAACTGTCTGTAGTTTCCACTGTCATAAAGCATGTCCATCTCTTTGTTAACTGTCTGTAGTTTCCTCTGTCATAAATCAGTCCCCTCTCTTTGTAAACTGTCTGTAGTTTCCACTGTCATAAAGCATGTCCATCTCTTTGTTAACTGTCTGTAGTTTCCTCTGTCATAAATCAGTCCCCTCTCTTTGTAAACTGTCTGTAGTTTCCACTGTCATAAATCAGTCCCCTCTCTTTGTAAACTGTCTGTAGTTTCCACTGTCATAAAACATGTCTAGGTAGCTGTCTGTAGTTTCCACTGTCATAAAACATGTTCTGTAGTCAGCACTGTCATAAAACAGTCCCCTCTCTTTGTTAACTGTCTGTAGTTTCCAGTGTCATAAATCAGTCCCCTCTCTTTGTAAACTGTCTGTAGTTTCCACTGTCATAAAACATGTTCTGTAGTCAGCACTGTCATAAAACAGTCCCTCTCTTTGTTACCTGTCTGTAGTTTCCACTGTCATAAAACATGTTCCTTTCTAGGTAGCTGTCTGTAGTTTCCACTGTCATAAAATATGTCCCTGTCTAGGGAACTGTCTGTAGTTTCCACTGTCATAAAACATGTTCCTTTCTAGGTAGCTGTCTGTAGTTTCCACTGTCATAAAACATGTACCTGTCTAGGTAACTGTCTTTAGTTTCCACGGTCATAAAACAGTCCCTCTCTTTGTTACCTGTCTGTAGTTTCCACTGTCATAAAACATGTTCCTTTCTAGGTAGCTGTCTGTAGTTTCCACTGTCATAAAATATGTCCCTGTCTAGGGAACTGTCTGTAGTTTCCACTGTCATAAAACATGTTCTGTAGTCAGCACTGTCATAAAACAGTCCCTCTCTTTGTTAACTGTCTGTAGTTTCCACTGTCATAAAATATGTCCCTGTCTAGGTAACTGTCTGTAGTTTCCACTGTCATATAAGTCTCTGTCTAGAGTTAAATAGTCCAAAATCACCATTTTCCTAAAGCAGTGTCCTATCTACCTTAATTGAAGTCACCACTGCGATATAATAGTGTCCTGTCTTCAGTAAACTCTCTATAAATTAGAATTAAGAATTAGATATACTGTGTATGTTTCTACTTGAAATTAAATCTAGAAATATCTGCATTTGTGACACTTTTGTATTCTTCCTCAACACTATTTTTGCTACAGTGGATTGACTTGTCCATCATGCGGTTACGTTGACCATGTTATGTTTCTACTTGCAGGTAACATAGCATTTGATACCCCTCACCCCTGTTCTGCGGACGGTAAGGGGTTCCAGTGTGATAATGCCACCCAGGAGTGTCGCAAGTACTGGGCGGGGCCAAACGATGGTATTACAAACTTTGATAACTTTGGTCTGGCCATGTTAACGGTGTTTCAGTGTATAACGTTGGAGGGCTGGACTGATGTATTGTATGATGTAAGTTGGTTTTGATGCTGGTAATTCACCAGAACACAAAGCATTTAATTTGCAAAATATTAAAAAATACATATATATATATATATATATTGGCAATGCAAAACTTCATATGATATTTGGTCATTTACACTCTTTGCTTTAGAAACAGACGTTTTTGAAAGTTCGCAAAATAAGTTTTCAATTCCTGTTTGTGTTCAAAACAAACTGAGTCTTTATTTTTCATATAATACTGATAATAGAAGTAACTATACTTCATTTTCTAGTTTGTCATAATGCATAAAACATAACTACATTTAGCATGATGAACTTGTGTGCATTAGTTTCCAAAGAAAGGCTACAACAATAAATAAAACCTAAGCAGGAATGCTATGATGATTCAGACAAGTACAACTGATCTCCTGCAGAGACATTTGCAGTATGTTTAACTAATTCTCCCCTGAAATTTCATAATGAACCATTCCAACCTTTGAATAGGAAGAGTTCAAATGTTTGTCCAGGGGTGAATGGGTTAAATAAACCCTGAAAGTGTTCTGTCATAACTATAGCATGTAAACTTGTGAGTGGTTAACTGTAATGAATATTGGTATTGGTACTAATGAGGTCAATATATACATTGTATACAGATTACTGGGCTAAACTCTTATTCTCAGGATTACATAACTTTACAATTATACTTCAGAAATTTGTTTACTGGGATTTTAATTCACAGAATACACAGTATCTATATGCATTATTTTTGTATATATCAGTCATTTAAATGTGTATATTTGAAAAATTCTTTATCATCTTTTCATACATCTTAACTTGAAAATATCTATCCAACAAATTTTGAGTGATTGGCAGTAGTTGATTTACGCCTGTAAGTGGCAGTGGCAGGTGCTTGGTGTTGTATCACGGAGTTGTGTTAATTAGCTTGGTTATGTAGGTTAGTAAACTGAGGTGTAGTGTGTCTCCTCTATCTGTCTCTGGGGTGAGGTTTAAAGCTGTATATAGGAAGAAAATACTTTATACAGACTGGCAGGCAATTATCAACTACAGGAAAGACAGTTTCTATTATACTCTGAAGACTAACACAGAACTTTCACCTTGTATGTTATACCCTGTACGCTAAAATATTGATGATAACTAGACTAGCATATCCTCTTCTTAGTGAGGAATGACATCTCCACGCTTAATTAATTATCAATATTGATAGAACTCTAATGCAGGTTGTCAGAAAATAGACCTTTCAACAAAATAGTAAAAATTGGATAAATCATACATGTTTAAAAAGTAGTAAAAATTGGAAAAATCATACCTGTCAACAAAGTAGTAAAAATTGGATAAATCATACATGTCAACAACGTAGTAAAAATTGGATAAATCATACCTGTCAACAAAGTAGTAAAAATTGGATAAATCATACCTGTCAACAAAGTAGTAAAAATTGGATTAACCATAATTAACATATAAAAACTATGAGGAGACAATTAAAATTGGTACACATCTCCAAACAAAAGTGTTCTTTTGACTTTATCTTGTGTAAGTATTGCCACTTCTATACACATTTCTAAGTTATTAGTCTATTATTATGGCCACAAATAGACAAAGCATTCTTAAGTTGTACTGTATTTATACGGCGTCTTATAGACAACTCAAACTATTCTATATGGCTTTATGATGTGTTGGTATGGCTACCCATAGACTAACCATAGTATTCTAAATGACTTAGCAAATTGTTGGTTTTCGTTTTACAGATCAACGATGCAGTGGGCAACGCATGGCCATGGACATACTTCATCACATTAATCATCATAGGATCTTTTTTTGTACTTAACTTAGTTTTAGGTGTTCTCAGTGGGTAAGTTTTCATTAACACATCTATATATAGAGTATCAGGTGACTGCATGATAATGGCCAGCTCTGTCCTGTGTAGTTTTACATGTACATAAAACGATATGTATACCTAATAGCTACTCCTATAACACAAGAGGCCGCTGGTCCACCTTTTTTTCTACGGCGCCTGTCAAAAGTATCTCGCCGTGTAAACCTCTAACACTGTTGGAGTAACCTAATAACATGAATTTGTTGTCACCCTGTAAGAAATTCTATCCACCTACACTTAATTCAGAAGACTTAAAATGTGTTAACTCACTATTTGACCTAGACATGCTTACTGAATAAAAACTAAACTACAAGATCTGCTACAGATTTTGTTCATCACAAATATACAAGTTGTTATTTCCATTAGCATGATAAAATAACTGATATTTTAAAATGTATATGACCAAATCAGACATCATATAATTGAACCATCTGGATCGTATTTATAAATAATATTACAACAAGGATTTGATTTTTATAGCTGTAGGTGATTTTGTTTAGTTATTTTTAATCATGAAAAAGAAAAAAATCTTCATGGTCTTGAATTCAAATTCTTGAAGTAAAAAAGACGAATATGACAAAGCTGTCCTTTGCTTGAGTACATAAAAACACTTTTTCCTAGACCCAGTTTTACCCCTGATGTTAAAAGTCAATTGCATATTTAAACAGGATGTGAAATACCTCCTGTGCCTACTGCTCTCCCCAGACGATGGTACCCTTCTGTCAATATTGACCGCACTGCTCCTTAATAGTCTTTCTGTGTTGATCAATAGTTAAGTGGTCGAAGATTACCATAAGTTTGTGATGTGTCAACATTAGCAGATTCTAGGATTCCGGCTCCACCATAAAGGTCAACCACAACTTATGACAACAGTTATATGATCCTCGAAAAATAATGCTTACTATTAGCACAAGTACATAATATAGGCTCTTGTCCCGTTACACCAGGTGATGGTGTTCCAGGGGTATAGGCTTGCATTCTTTGTCATTCAAAAGCAACCTTATCGTGAACCCAATCCAGCGTCATTGATACAGATCAAATACGTCTTGATGGATTATGAAATCTGATTTACTTAAAGGAATTCTCAAACCCAGAGTTACTCAGCCTGGCATTGCTCATTTTGTCCTTGTCCTGTTGAATTCTTTGCAATATTTCGACATATCCTGAATACCCAGTGGTAAACAGAAAGTAGATTATCCAAAAGTCTAAGTAAAAATACTCATCTGATAATTTTAACATCTACCACTAACATTATAAAGTGTTCTTTATCGGGGCTTTTCTGTGGGTCCTTTTGGTGCCAAAATTCAGCCCCATTCCCAATGAATGCTGCTATTGTATCTGAAAATCTCCTTAAAAATTCCCAAGTTATTGTGACACATTTATCCCACTTCTAAAGCTTCTTAAAATAGTGAGAGAGAAAACCTGCAGACAGTGTGACACTGATCCGAAGATCTTAAATATCAGCATTCAGCTTTGTTTTGTTTCATTAAATTCTTATCAAACAAGATAGAACAGCATATGAACAATTTGATATCTTTTTCTTTTGCCTGTGTTTAAAAAATAGATTAATTAATTAATTATCTAATTATAAATCATGTGTTTGTCAGTGAATTTTCTAAGGAAAGAGAAAAAGCCAAATCTAGGGGAGATTTTAAAAAGCTGCGAGAGAAGCAGCAGATGGAGGAAGACCTGCGTGGCTACATGGACTGGATCACACAGGCCGAGGACATTGATCCCGAGAATGAGGAGGAGAGAGAGGAAGGTGCTACTCCCCGTCATAGTGAGTATCAGAGGTGCCACGCCCAACGTCTCCGCCTAAGTACGAGTCTTACCTACCAAACATAGTCATAGTGAAAATTAGGAATCAAGTCTTACCTACCAAACATATTCTTAATGGAAATTAGGAATCAAGTCTTACCTATCAAACATAGTCATAGTGAAAATTAGGGATCAAGTCTTACCTACCAAACATATTCTTAATGGAAATTAGGAATCAAGTCTTACCTACCAAACATAGCCTTAATGGAAATTAGGGATCAAGTCTTATCTACCAAACATAGTCTTAATGGAAATTAGGGATCAAGTCTGACCTACCAAACATATTCTTAATGGAAATAAGGGATCAAGTCTTATCTACCAAACATAGTCTTAATGGAAATTAGGAATCAAGTCTTACCTACCAAACATATTCTTAATGGAAATTAGGGATCAAGTCTTATCTACCAAACATAGTCTTAATTGACATTAGGGATCAAGTCTTACCTACCAAACATAGTCTTAATGGAAATTAGGAATGAAGTCTTATCTAACAAACATAGTCTTAATTGAAATTAGGAATCAAGTCTTATCTACCAAACATAGTCTTAATTGAAATTAGGGATCAAGTCTTACCTACCAAACATAGTCTTAATGGAAATTAGGAATCAAGTCTTACCTACCAAACATAGTCTTAGTGAAAATTAGGAATCAAGTCTTATCTACCAAACATAGTCTTAATGGAAATTAGGAATCAAGTCTTACCAACCAAACATATTCTTAATGGAAAATAGGGATCAAGTCTTACCTACCAAACATAGTCTTAGTGGAAATTAGGAATCAAGTCTTACCAACCAAACATATTCTTAATGGAAAATAGGGATCAAGTCTTACCTACCAAACATAGTCTTAGTGGAAATTAGGAATCAAGTCTTACCAACCAAACATATTCTTAATGGAAATTTGGGATCAAGTCTTATCTACCAAACATAGTCTTAATTGACATTAGGGATCAAGTCTTACCTACCAAACATATTCTTAATGGAAATTAGGGATCAAGTCTTACCTACCAAACACATTCGTAATGAATTTTTTTATATATTTTTTTTAGGAAAAATAATATGTTATATCGTTATAAGGCCATAAATCAAATTTGATTCAATAAGGCAACTCTCTGAAATAAAAGATTCACGCATTATATGATTTTAAATTTTATGAAATAAAATCACAAGTTACTATTTTTGTATCGCTATTCACAAGAATTGATCAGTGAAACACAGTTTTTGATCTGAGTCTAGCAAACAAACTCCTGAATCACGACAGTCAAATCTGTCGACTGAAACTACTGAGTTTACATGTCATTGAATGTTTTCTATTCCTTTTGTTTATGTATGTATATGACCGAAGGTAATCGTGTGTATCAGTTTATTGACATGCTGAAGTATATTGATGGCTAGCACCTGTAGGTAAATGGCAGTTTTGGTATCTAGCCAGAAGTTAATTGAATGGTTCTAGTGCAAGGCAGGAATGGTGTTATACATAAAGTGTATGTGTGTGTGTCCAGAACAGGATACATGTTGATCCGGTTTTTCACTCATTTACACCCACACTATGCAGAAAAATCTAATACTGTAATGTTAAACTGTATAACAATTCTGAAAGACATAGCTGTATATTAAACTTCATTAAAGTCATATTTATTTTTAGGTCACCTGAGCTTTAGCTCAAGTGACCTATTGCTATCCGTTTTCGTCCGTCGTCGTCCGTCGTCCGTCGTCCGTCGTCCGTCGTCCGTTAACATTTTACATTTCAAACTTAAAGTCAAGTTCTGCTGGGCCGATTGAACTGAAAGTTGGTAGGAATGATCGCCTCATGGTCCTGACAAAGTGTTGTTATTTTTCGGGTCGATCAGAAATCCAATATGGCCGCCACGGCCGCCATTTTGAAAACCTATTTCAAACTTAAAGTCAAGTTCTGCTGGACCGATTGAACTGAAAGTTGGTAGGAATGATCGCCTCATGGTCCTGACAAAGTGTTGTTATTTTTCGGGTCGATCAGAAATCCAATATGGCCGCCACGGCCGCCATTTTGAAAACCTATTTCAAACTTAAAGTCAAGTTCTGCTGGACCGATTGAACTGAAAGTTGGTAGGAATGATCGCCTCATGGTCCTGACAAAGTGTTGTTATTTTT